CCTTTACACACACGCACACACTTTCACCGAGTTTGGCGTTATGCGGATTTTGATAAATCTTTCTGAAGTTTGTTAAGGAAATTTTCTAGGGTTTATGTGATTACAAAATTCTGGAATGTATGTGCAATATTGTAGAAATAAATGGAAAAAATTGTAAAAAACGACATGTCATTGTTTGCATTGAAAACAAATGAAAACTATCATTTGCCAAAAACTTCAATTTACTTATGAACCTAGACAATATTAGAATATGTGAAATAAATTTATGATTATGAATAAGAAAAATGAAATGTCTACATTATTATTGTCAAAAAGCAGCTGAGATGTGCCGAAAATTGAAATAATATAGAAAACAGTATATGTATGGTAGATTGAATGATGTACATATGAACAGGATATGACAAATTAATTCGCTTAAAATATGAAATTAAGTATTAATCAGGGCGATGCATGCGCACGCCTTAGGGGGCGCCAACATAAGATTCGGATAATACATTTTCAATATAGTTTTTTTTTTTCAATATATAATTTCTTTGCATCTTTCCACAATATTTTTAAAATTCGTAAAAGTTTCACTTTATAACAACAAGTGGAAAAGTAAAGATGAATACATACAATTCGGCCCTCCCGATATCGATTAAGAGAAGTTTAAGATGGAATTTTGGATATCTGAAATAATAAAAAATTAAATTAATTTAATCCAGCATGAAGTACCAGTATTATGTTATGGTTATGATTATGTTATACCGTTTAAAAGACTTCAATTTCCAATATAGTGTGGGAATTGAGACTCATCATTTTATTTAAAGCAGTTCTACATTCAACATCGCTCATATTATAAATGTATATGCATTTTGGCGTGAAGAGTATTTTAAAAAAACAATAATTATTATTTTTAGGTAAACGGTAAATATTAGTATATTATATAAAAAATTGTAGACATGGGTTCAGGACAACATCTGCCGGTCATCTAGTATTTTATAATATTATACCTTAATAAGCATACTTACGAAACTAATCGATTTTTCTCTATCTTAATCCAGTTACACTCTGAATGTGAACAAGAAATTGGGTAACTCGCGCCGCGTGGTACAGCTCAGGTCATTATATATATAAAGTGCTTCTGTGACGAATTATAATTTAATTAACAACATTGCTATTGTTAGCTCATATTTTTTGTAGTCTCTTTGACCCTTTGAAGGTAGAGACTCAATAGACCAGTGGTCGGGGAACCGGGGTAAATTACCCCAAATGGGAAAAAGTGGAATTTTTGGGGGTAAAAAGTATATATTTGCGAAGCACTAAATCAGCTTCAGTAAAATCTACTATCGGAAATAATTTCTGCATTAGCAGAAAATGTGAAGGAATAAATAGTTTTTGCATTAAAACGAGTTAAATATCTTGCTGGTTTTAAATCAGCTTCCGTAAAACCGAAAAGAATCTCTGCATTAGCAAAAATGTGAAGTTTTTGCATTAAAACAAACTAAATATTTTGCTTTTCAGCTTGAGACAACGGATTTCAGTAGTAATTTACAACTGGAATATGTTTGCTATAAAGGCGTAGATAATTTTGAAAAGAAATTGCTGTTTTGTTTTCTTCTCTTTCGGGTTCAGATGTGGTGGAATAAATATTTATAATAAAGTAAACGGATAGTTCAAAGCGCAAAGATTAAAATGGGAAAACTGCAATTTGGTGTCTTTGGATGAAGCTCCAGCTATGCTGGGTCATATTTATGGTTTTTCAGCTTTTGTAAGGGAAAGTACCCACACTCATGATGTTATCAAGATTATACATTTTATCAAGGGGCATGCACTAAATATGCGGCTATTTTGTGAATTATGTCAGGATGGTGAAGCTACGACCTACCTCCTTTATTATACAGAAGTAAGGAGCCTCTCTAGCGGAAATATTTTAAATTGAGTATGGACTCTTAAAAATGAAGCTGAAATCTCTATGGTTTCTCAAAAAGATATTCTTGCGGAAAATTTTAAAAACTTTTCCTGGGTTGCCTATCTCGCATATTTAGCAGACATTTTTGAGCGCATAAATATTATCAGCATTTGGGTCAAAGCTGGAATATTGGCGACAGAAAGTAGAAAAGAACAAGATAGCATATTTTCCAATGTTAGCTTTGTTTTTGGAAGATTGTGAAAATATTACTTCACCTGAGAGATCGGTTTTTGGATTACTTTCCAGATCTAGATACACGTACTGTGAGTTGAATTGTAGATCCTTTTAAATATGAATCTTGCATGATCCCGGAAAAACCTGCAGGTTTGGTAGAATCAATTCTAGCACTTCGTTCTAATACCGAAGCAGGTATTGAATTTGGGAGTGAACAAAACCTGTCGTGTTTTTGGATGTCAAAATCTGCAAAGGGTTTTGAAATAGCACATGAAGAAGCGGTAAAAAAAATGCTGCCATTTGGTTGCATATTTGTGCAAACCAGACTTTTCCAGTCTAATAAATTTAAAATCGAGGAGAAATGGATTTAGTGCCGAGGATTATATTAAAATTGCTCTTACTGCTGTTTGTGTTGACAAAACAATTACTTTTGGGAAAAAAAATATTTCAATTTTTTTTCAAAAAATGTTTTTTGTATATCGAAAATAATTCAGATTTCAATTTTAATTCGGGCTAAAGTTCTAAAGCTCACTTATATACTTCAAATAAATAATTTTAAGGCATGATGCCATACACCACTAGTTTATTCATGTATTAGTAGGATTTTCATGAAAAATATATTTATTCATTTATTCAATATAGTTTTTACTTATTGTTTCTTTCAAACCGTTTGTTTAAGCCTTTTTCAAAGCTTAGAAGGACCAAACAATGTAGCAATCTGTTAATCTGCGGGTTATGGCTTCCAAAGATTCCAATTATAGGCTCTTTTAGTTAATTTTTTTTGTGGGGTGATGAGAGGTTGCACAAAAACATTTTGGGGTAATGGTTCCAAAAGTTTCCCGACCACTGCAATAGACCATCAATATAGTGTTATTTGTGCTTCGATAAAATAAATCAAAACTAGTGGGGGCATGGCATTTAAGGCAAATTGCTGGAACTTCCAGTACCAAAAATTATTATTTTTTTAAAAACGAAATGAAAATGAAAAAATTTTACTTCGAAAAAATTAGATTTTTGGGAAACTATAAATTCGACAAAAAATTATCTTTTTTGAAAAAAAAGTTTTTTTTATTTTGGCATAGTTTGAAAATTCTGAACTTTTTTTCAAAGCAATCGTACTGCTTTAACTGCATAGAGACGAAATGTCAAAGCGCGTAAGCGCCGCGTAGCCGTCTAACGTATAAACAATTGTACGGAACCCATGAGAATGTAAACAAAATTTATACTTATTGTTAAAATCTTTATAAAATATCTGATAATTTGATGTGCATATGTCTAATGATCATTTTTGACCGCCAATTGGCTTTTTTTTTTACTTTTTTCATTAGATCTCCGAAACCGCTAGACCTGCCTTTATGAAAATTTGATCAATTCTTTATCTTGTCAATACAAGTAAAATATTTTTTGAATTTTTAAAATCGGACGCTCCGTTCTCCTAAAAACCGTGTTATCGTTTTTTATTTTAAGGGCTAGACCTGCCTTCATCAAAAACTAATCAGCACGTCTCCTTATCAATACGAATCGAATGTTTTTTAAATTATTTAAATCGGTTGATCGGTGTTCTCGAAGTCGTCGACGAAAATTTGTATCCGCACACACACACACACATATACATCCATTTTTTCTAAGGTATGCCAAAATATTCAGAAACCTTTGAAACGTCAAGAAATGCAAAAATTTTCATTTTCGATTTTTTTGCGATTACTATAGCTTACCCTACGGGATGTTAATAAGCATCCGATTTGAATGATTCAAAAAACAAAAAACATTCAAAACTGCTTATGTTGACGAAACAATTGCTTTAAGAAAAAAAATCATTTCATTTTTTTTTTTTGAAAATAATTCAGACTTCAATTTTAATTCTGGTTAAAGTTGAAGTTCCCGCAATTTGCCTTAAGGTACGATGCCATACACAACTAGTATATATGACATAGTATATAGTATAGTATATATGATTATGCTTATTTATCTATGAGTATATTTATGTTCATGACAATCGACGTTGAATTTTACAATTAAATGTTAAGTTAATGAAATTTTATGACAAAATTTTGAATTGAAATTGAAACCAAGTATTTTTAAATTAAACGTGTTGTTACTGGAATAATATAACTTCATTATATACTTTTAAGATACAAAAAAAAAAACTAGTGGGGCGCATGGAATCGTGTTTTAAGGCAAATTGCTGGAACTTCCCGTACCGTCTGTTTTGTCAACACAAGCAGAAAGGTTTTTGAATCATTCAATTCGGATGCTTAAGCAAATTCGGAAATAATTATTTCTCTCAAAAACGGCCATTTTTGGATTATTTAGCGCTGTATCTTCGAAATGGCTGGACCTGCCTTTGCCAAAAACTGATAACCATTTCTCCCAATTATTGTTAATTGAATGTTTTTTAAATCATTCAAATCGGATGCTCCGTTCTCTCAAAAACTCGATTTCTATTATCTGCATTCTTTGCTCTTTATCCCCATAACGGCTGGGCCTGCCTTTGCCAAAAACTAATCAGTACATCTTCCTATCAATAGGAATCGAATGTTTTTTAACCATTCCAATCGGTTGATCCATGCGCCCGAAAACGTGAACGAAAAAATGCGGAAACACAAAACACACACACACACATCCATTTTTTTCGAGGTATGCGAAAATGTTCAGAAATCTTCAAAACGTCGAGAAATGTAAAAATTATCAATTTAGATTTTTGGACGATTATAATATTAACTTACCCTACGGGAAGTTGATAATTTTCATAAATCCCGCCAATTTAAATATCAATTTTTATATCAACTACTACAACCAACTTCACACGCGTTTTGTAATATGTCATGCTGTCATTCTCTAACCTCATCAGTCGTAAACAAGTTGATCAAATAGTTATTTAATATTTAATTAATTTATTTATTTTTTGTTTGATTAGTTGTTTAAAATGCCGAAAGTAATTTCCAGAAGTATATCTTGTATTGACACAAAAGATCAAGAGGAATATAGTGAAACAAAACCATTGCATTTATATTATTGTTTGTGCGGGCAAATGACATTGATTTTAGGTAAATGATGTAAAAGAAATTAAAAATTTATTAGATAAAATAAATTTTACTAGAAAAAGGCAATCCATACTAAAGATGTATTAAATGTATATATAAATACTAAACATAGATGTTCACTTATATGTATAACTTCAATCTCTTTCAACATAACCCTACTTATACATACATTTAACATTATTTTTGTATTTTCCTCTAGGAGTTTCATTTGAGGGTTTAAAGTCGTTTTGGACTTTTACATATTAATGACATAAATTTACATAAATAGAAAAGAGCTATCTGTATATAGATTATATGTGGTCCTTGTATCGGCACTAGTTGGTTGTAATAGAATGACTCCTGTAAGCATCTTCGTACATGGTAAATTTATCTTACTTAATTTATTTATCAAAAGAATTACTAAAGTGTGTTATCAAAAGTTGGTGCATTTAACCAGGATTGTAAAATGGCAAAATATTAGAAAATTTTATAATAGAAAAATTTTAAGTAAAAAATAAAAACCTAAAAATGGCATGATTTTTGCTAGTACGTTTTGCTAATAAATTGATTTAAATTGATTTAAAACGTTTTAAATTCATAGTTCAACTAAAAGTCGTAATTCTTGAAAACATGGGGCAATTGTGTTAATGGTTTTGATTGTAGACCTAGAAATGTTATTCATAGTAACAGTTCCAAAGTTTAAATAAACAAAATTGATAAAAGGTAATTATAATAACTGAAAAATAGTCACAGTTTCACTAAAGTTCTTAATTTTCAAACAACGTGAGATAATTTTTTCAGGAGTCAATAATATCACTCCATTTTGGCTTGATGTCAAAGTCTGGGATACCCAATATAGCATATTCTTTCATTAGACATGTTAATATTTATTTAGAAGTTGCACTCCAATTTAAATTCTACTGAAAATGACATAAAATAATATGCCGAAATATATGGAAACTAGTTGGTTTGGTATTTAGCCTTGAGGCAAGTTACATGAACTTCCCGATATGTGTAAATAATCGACTTAATCAAAAAAAAAAAATGTGTAAATAATATACTTCATCAATCCTACTTTAAAAAAAACGATAATAATTTTAGCAAAGTTTGACGAATTTTTAAAATTAAACTACTTGTCGTAAGGCCGTAATATTACAGTAAGTTCTATAAGACAATGATGTATATCGCCAAAAAAAGTTTCATGAAAATCGGCTTAAATTTTTTTTCAACAGTTCATTACAAGAAAACGGCTCGGTAGATTTTCATCTAAAATTAATCAGTACCATTCTCAACTAATATCTTTCTAATAGTTTTTGTTTTTTTAAAATCGGTTCGGTAGGATGAGTTTAAATGTGGACGAAAAGTTTAACACTTTTTTAAGACTATGGTATCTACCGTCAAAAAAGTAATCATAAAAATCGTCGAATTTTTTTTTTTTAAACTTTATTACAAGAAAACGGCTCGGCCGATCTCTACCAAAAACTAATCAGCACGATTCCCAACCAATATCTTTCGAACGGTTTTTGAATTTTCAAAATCGATTTAGAATTGTGGGCTAAAACGTAGACGAAAAATGTTTCACTTTTCTGCGATTTATAAAGAAACGGCTTGGCCGATCGTCGCACAAAACTGACAAACAATAGTCCTCGTCGAGGTACATCGAAACGTCGATTTACGGCAAAAAAAGTGTTCACACACACACACACACACACACATACTTTTTCCAAATTTGGTCTCATTCGATTCAGAATGGCTTGAAACGTCGAGAAAACATAAAATTAGCAATTCGGATTTTTTGATGAAAACATAAACTTCTCCTTCGGGAAGTTAATAATAAAGATTTCATAAAGTTTTTCAAATTTTATTTGATATATTACTGATTTATAGATAGATATAGATTTGATATATAGGTTTTGTTTTACATATCTCTACATAAAAAAAAGAGTGCGCGTAAGGTTCAAACTTATTTGCTACTGTTCGAGATGTTATTTAAGTAAAAATAATTACATCATATAATAATTTTGAATAATGTTTATTAGTAAAATGGTCACACTCGTGATGCAAATATTTATTAGTGTCAATTATACACATTTATATAATGATAAATTGTAAATAAATTATATATTTATAATAGCATTAAAAATATGTATAATATTTAAAAAGAATAATGTAATGAAAGTCATACTTCAAATATAACATGATAGGTTTGTCATTGTAATTAGCATTTAGAAATGAACCTTCATTAGAGAACTGAAGTAATTGCTGATTAATAAATTCTATAATATTCGTTCACACAGTGAATTATATTAAGCAGCGCCTAAACAAATATTGTTTTCACATTTTCACTCATCATGTGTTTGAAGAACTTGATGTAATTAAAATTTACATGCATTCATGGACTGCTTGTTTTTTTTTACTTTTTTGCGATATAATCTCATTCTTTGAATAGCTGTGATATCTGTATTGCCTAAAAATATTTTCCATTCTAAAAACTTCAAAGATTTATAGAAACTACGAATAATATAGAAATAATTTCTAAGGAACGGAGTAAAATATTAAAAAAACAGGATAAAATATTGTTCTGATTCAGAAATTTTTTATTAAATCAAGATTTGTACTACGATGTAACTTTAAAATGTTTATTTATGCCGATTTTCTTGTTGATATCGGTACGCATACAACGTTGAAGCCGGTACGCATACAACGACAGATCTCTATTCACATACGCGACGACTATTCACAATCTACCCCTATAGGAATGATATCATCGAGAGCAAATGACGAATCATTGGCACTTCGCTCTTATCTAATCTGCCGTAACGCACTTCCGTTGCATTTGTACGGATTTACACCCTCGCGCCTAAAGAAGTTTTACTTCAATAATTATAAAAAAACTTAACATATAATATATTTTATATGTACATATATGATATTATATATTTTTTTTTTTTATTTACAGATTGTTCCATTGACAAACTGCCTTTACGCAAAAAGGATGGTGCTCGAGTTATCGATGGGGGCAAGCATGCACATAAAGTTACATCTGACATAGATGAAACAGTAAGTTGAATATTTTGTATTTTCTTATTTGAATTTTCATTTTGAATATTAGAAAAGGTTTTATTGATATAATTTTTCTAATGGAGTTTAGTCAGTCTTTATGATTTACAGGCCCAGTATTAACTCTGCATATTAATGCAGAATTTGAATTAATAATCTCTTTCACAATTTATTAACTTCCCGTAGGGTAAGTTATTGTAAAGGGCCGAAAATCGGAATTGAAAATTTTTACATTTCTCGACGTTTTGAAGGTTTCTGAACATTTTGGCATACTTCAGAAAAAATGGATGTGTGTGTGTGTGTGTATGTATGTATGTATGGATACAAATTTTCGCCCACGTTTTCGGCCGTACGGATCAACCGATTTGAATGGTTCAAAAAACATTCGATTCCTATTGATAGGGAAAAGAGCTGATTAGTTTTTGGCAAAGGCAGGTCCAGCCGTTACGGAGATACGTAGCAAAGAGTGCAGAAAATAGAAATCGAATTCTTGAGAGAACGGAGTATCCGATTTGAATGATCTAAAAAACATTCAATTAGTAATGATTGGGAGAAGTGTTTATTAGTTTTTGGCAAAGGCAGGCCCAGCCATTTTGAAGATACGGAGCTAAATATGTAAAAAATGGCAGTTTTTGAGAGAACTAAGCGCCCGATTTAAATGATTCAAAAAACTTTCTGCTTGTCTTAACAAAATAATTGATTTTGGAAAAAAAATTTGTTCCATTTTTTTTTTTTTTTTTTTTAGTTTTTTGTATATCGAAAATATTTCAGATTTTATTTTTAATTCTGACTATAGTTCTAATATACTTTACAAATAATTTCAATTCTGCAATTCAGTTTATATAATTCTTATAAATATTACACAATGTTACAATATTTATAATAATCTATTTGAAAACATTCAGTATTCCTTGAACATTTCGTTACGGTACGGGAAGTTCCAGCAATTTGCCTTAAGGCACGATGCCATAATTTCCTCAAGACAGAATTCCACTTACAGCTAGTTCATAGTGTTGTATCAATTGTATACTTGTAGTAGTTTTGTGTACAATTCTGCCTCATAGTAAAGCGTTGTCATGGCAATGCTATTTTATGCCTGTTTATTGGTAGTGAAAACTGTGAAAATTTCTATCTATTTGCTGTTCGAACAGGCATATTTTACATATGAACAAGTAAGGAAGAATCTTATGATAACTGCATCATCCAATATTCTGTTCTTTCTTGCTTGTTTATATATGAAATGTGCCTGATCGCACAGCAAATAGATTAACATTTTCACAGTTTCACTACAAAGAAACAAGCATAAGATAGCGTACTTTATAGACTGTCTGGAAATCTTGTAGTCTATTTGGAAATCTTGTAGATTCTCTAGAAATGTTGTGGACCATCTGAAATTGATGTAGTCCATCTGAAAATGTTGCGGACCGTCTGAAAATGATGTAGCTCCTCTGAAAATATTGTGAGTTGTCGGTAAATGCTGTGAAGTGTCTGAAAACGTTATAGACCAGTGATTCCCAGCCTTTTTTGGGCCCCGCCCTACCTTGAGGTTTATAAAAATACAATTTTTTTTTTCTCCCAGAAAAAATGTGAATGATAAATTTTAAGATGAAATCGCTATTAAATTGTTATTAAACATCATAAGTGAAATTTCGGAATAAGCCAACATACGGAAATTTCAAACTAATTTTATTACTGTTTTTTTTTTCAAAATTTATTTAATGCAATACTTAAGCTAAAACAAAGATTTTATATTAGGTTCTAATCTAAATTTTTCTTTTTTTCAATAAATTATAGCAAATTTTTGTACATATGATTACATTTGGGTATTTGGTTTCAGTTTCTTCATAAAGCCATTTCTTAACGAATCTGCTTGACATTTTCTTAACTCAGAACGGAATTATATCTTAATTTTATATATTTTTTGTTAAATCTTTTTTAGTTATCAGATTGGCAACTAAGTAAGTACGCATATTTTTCTAGAAATTGATAGTTATCGTTGGCAACTAAATAAGTGCGCATTTTAGAAAATCAAAGACAATTTTTGCGTGGAATTAAATAACTTTGTTGTGTATACCATTTTGATCGATGGCCTTTTGTTATTTTCCAAGAAGCATCATTATCCCAAGTTTATAAAACTTCTAGTTTTTATTAGCAAAAACTAAATTAGACACAATTTGACACCATCATGATTTTTTTTTAAATTCAAAGTTTTTAAATCAGATGGTTTGTGGTCAGGAACATTTGGTGGATGTGGAGAAACATTTTCACCAACCCCCAATAATTTTTAAACATAGCCAAATTTCTATTTCTATTAGCCCAATCGATTATTGCTTTAATTAGTTTGTCCAAAACTTTAACTGGACAATCAGAGCAGCATTGAGTGGAAAATTACCAGAATGACATTTTCAAAACCAATTTTAACATAGCTGTTTTTTAAGGCTTTGACACCATAAACAGCACCTATTCTTTGGGATGATCGTTTTACCATTTGCAGAAATAAAAATTCAAAATTTGATGACTAAAATATTTGTTTTGATATTCCATCTTTCAACAAACACTATACATAACCGATCAAAAAGTTAAAGCTAAATTTCTCACTATACATTACTACCTCAACCTCAACAAACCTAAAGAATCATTTGAAGCAATCTAACAATAAGAGTAAAAGCCGCGCTTAGTGCCAACCTTGTACTATTTAAGGATACAATAAAAATTAGTTTATTTTAAATTAATTCCATCTTTAGCCATAGTTACTGACAGTGTGTAAAAACTCACATCATATTTACAATTTTTCTGCTTTTAAAGCCTTGTATAAAACTCTGTTCTCATAAAGCTTCGCAATTAACTTTAGTATTAAATATCACATTTCTTGTGCATATTTCAAGTCGAGTCTTGTCACTGACCTTAAAGCATTTATGCCAAGCAGTCAGAAACTTGATTTACCTATTTTTTTGGTAATTTTTGTAAATTGGAATATAGAAATTTAAAATAATTAGTGAAGGGCTACTGGAACCCAAAGAATTGTTGCATCTCGCAATATTCTCTTTCATAATGTTGTTAGATTTATATAAAGTTTATTGCATTTATCATTTTCAGATTATAATGGGTAGTTGTAATTTTATTATAAAGTAATGAGAAAAAGTCAAGTCAACCTGGCAGAAAAAACATAACTAGGAAAGCAAGGTTGAAAACTAAAACCGTCGCGGCCAAACCGGGACACCTTATTATTCTAAATCTAAATAAATCTAAAGCATTTTTTTTGTTAAATGTTTTACCGATACTATACTACATTACATTAATATCACCAAAATTTTCAAATTGCCCCCCGGTGGGGCGTGCGCCACGTGGGACTGTCTGGGAATGTTGTACACTGTCTGGAAATCTTGTAGTTTATTTGGAAATCTTGTAATCTATTACGAAATGTTGTGGACTGTCTGAAAATGATGTAGCCCTCTTGAAAATGATGTGGTCCTTCTGAAAATGATGTTGCCCGTCTGAAATTTTTTTGAATTTTCAAAAAACGTTGTGAAATCTCTGATTATGTTGTGGAATGTCTGAAAATGTTGTAAAATGACTGAATACGTTATAGACTGTCGGTGTTAGGATAGGGCGCGGTGGGTCGACCGCCCAGGGCGCCTGTCAAAAGAGCGCGCTGGCGCCCCCCCCCCAGCTCATGCTCATAATTCGAGGTCAGTCTAGTCTTAAATTCCCTAAATTAAGCGGTTTTTTAACTTCCCAAAGGAGAAGTTTATGTTTTCATAAAAAAATCCGATTCGCTAATTTTATGTTTTCTCGACGTTTCAAGCCATTCTGAGTCGAATGAGACCAAATTTGGAAAAAGTATATATATTTTTTTGTATAGCGAAGGAAATGCCTTTATGCATCCCAGACTGGTGTTCTGTCTGGGTGTGTCGGACTCAATACCGCCTTGGTATAATACCGACTAAAATCTCCGCTTTGCTCTTGCCTCTGGTCCCCACGGAAACCGCCATTTGGCATTACTTCGTGGGGGGAGGATATAGAATGTTATAATTCTTTACTTGATTTTCACTTGGAAAAAGTATGTGTGTGTGTGCATGTATGTGAAAAGATTTTTGCCGTAAATCGACGTTTCTTCAAAAACGGCTGACCGATTTCAAAAATTTAAAAGTCATTCGATGTATCTCGAATCGTTTGTAAGTTTTGCGCTACGTTATTATTAAAGTTAGATGATTTTTTTGATATACGATTATCAAATTTAGATGATTTTTTGATTATTTGAACTCTTATAATTTTTTAAAAGTATGGTCGTAATATTTTTTAGTATGTTCTATAAAGACTATAAAGACAATGATATATATCATGAAAAAATGTTTCAAGAAATTCGTCGAATAGAAATATTTTTAACAGATAATTACAAAAAAACGTCCTGGCAGATCTTCAACAAAAACAGTAAGATTTGTAACTATGATCTTAGGAATGGTTGTTAAATTTTCAAAATCGAATCAAGGTTGTGAGTTGAAACACGTACAAAAATGTTTAACTTTTCTGCCAATTACAAATATACTGCTCTGCCGATCGTTGCTGAAAAGTGATAAGCTATAGTCCTTATCAAGTTGCTTAGTATGATTTCTAAATTAAAATGTTTTTAATCAGTTTATGCGTTTATGAGGAGACGTCGATGAAAGATATAATTTTGACAGACGCTAAAAAACGCTACTAATATTTTTGAACGTTGATGAATTTTTAAAATTAAACTACTTGTCGTAAGGCCTTAATATTTCAGTAACTTCTATAAGACCATGATATATATCGCCAAAAAAAGTTCTATAAAAATCGGCTTAATTTTTTTTTTCAACAGTTAATTATAAGAAAACGACTCGGTAGATTTTTACCTAAAACTAATCAGTATCATTCCCAACTAATATCTTTCGAACAGTTTTTGATTTTTTAAAATCGATTAGGTAGTTTGAGCTTAAATGTGGACGAAAAGTTTAACACTTTTTTTCAAACAAAGAAACGTTTTGGCAGATCGTCTCACAAAACAATAGTCCTCATTGAGATACATCAAATGGCTTTTAAATTTCTGAAATCGGTTCAGGCGTTTTTAAGAAAACGTCGATCAAAGGTCTAATTTTAACAAATGCCATAAAAACGAAACCAATTTTTGCAAACTTTGACGAAATTTTAAAGTTAAACGAGTTGTCGTAGGGCCGTATTATTTTAGTATGATCTAGAAGGTTATGGTATCTGTCGTTAAAAAAATAATAATAAAAATCGTCGAAATTTTTTTTTAACGCTTTATTACCAGAAAACGATTCGAAAGAGCACGCTTCCTAACGATTCGATATCTTTCGAACGGTTTTTGAATTTTCATAATCGATTCAGAATTGCGGGCTAAAATGTGGACGAAAATTGTTTCACTTTTCTGCGATTTACAAAAAAACGGCTCGGCCGATCGTAGCACGAAACTGATAAACGATAGTCCTCATCGAGATACATCGAATGGTTTTTACATTTTTGAAATCGGTCCAGCCGTTTTCGAGAAAACGTTGATTTGCGGCAAAAAATCTGTTCACATACACACACACATATTTCTTCCAAATTTGGTCTTATTCGTTTCAGAATGGCTTGAAACGTCGAGAAAACATAAAATTAGCGAATCGGATTTTTTGATGAACACAAACTTTTCCTTCGGGAAGTTAAATATTTTTTTTTGATCTATCTACTTCCCAACATGTAACATTTTTATATTACAATATAACAACTGACTACTTCCTTTTTTCAAGGTTTACCTTCGTCGAGAAGGTGGTCTAATAGAAAAGCAGCATCGCCTGAAATGCAAAAGTTGTGGTCTGCGCCTTTATTATCGGCATGAGCCCCAAAGCAACATCACGTTTATTGTCAATGGGGCCCTGGTGACAGCTAAACAAGATTCTCTGGTTGGAAACGATTCTTATAGACAAATTGCTGCTCAGACTGTTGCTACGAAGAAAGTTATGGTCACTAAGCATACGAAGAATATGGGAAAATTCAGCTCCGTTACTGTTTCTACAATTGATGAAGAGGAAGATGAAATAGAAGCGGTAAGTTGGATAATAGATATAAATGCAAACACACACATATGTATTTAGACATATATATTGTATATTATTTATATACTTGAATATTTAATTCTGGTACGGGAAGTTCCAGAAATTTGCCTTAATGCACGATGCTATGCTCCTCCAGTTTTAATATTATATTATTATTTTTCTAGAGAGAAGTAGCAGACAGTTATGCAAACAATGCAAGAATCATAGAAAAGCAATTAGAACGTAAATCTGGTAATGTGAAGAGGGCATTAGCAAGTACAAGTTCTACCGGTGATACAATTGATAATAAAAGACCAAGAGGAACATTATTGGAGAATTAATACTAGTTATAAATGGATGTGTTCGGTTGGGAGTTATGTAAGTTTGTATATAAGAGTTAATAAAATAATTTATATGGTAATTGATATTGTGAAAGCCAGTTCTTATTAACCATATATATATATCATTCATACATACATACATATATGTACATATGCACACACACATATATATATATATATATATACTAGCTGACCCATGTTTTGCCATAAAAAATATATCTAACATAAAATATATGAATAGTTTACCCACAGCAATGCACGCCACATATAAATGTCCCTTAATAGTCTTTGAAAGTGCTAATCTAATCTGAAACTGATTCTATTTAAATTAAATTGGCACATTTAATGTTTCAAGATTTTGATATATTATTACAGTGCTTTTTATTAATTCATTAATTTTTGAATTACGAATCAAAATCCGATAATTTGTTTTTAAATTATATTGTTATGTGGCATGCCCAGTGAAATGACTGAGATTGAAAACAATTGATAGTGAAAATGTTTACAGCTTTGCCATAGATTTGTATGGTACCTATAGTTCCCTATCAAAAACTGTTGTATCTGCAGATTTTAATATTCAATCTCTATTTCTTTGCAAAAATTGCTTTTTATGCAAACCATTTATCAACTATGTACTGTTTTTGCGCATCGGGAAATATTTGTACAATGGGAACATGGGAGGGGTGGTAAACCGTTGATAAAAGTAAATTGTTTTTATTTTAATGCTTCATCATAAGGTCAGGTTATCATAGATTCAGTCAGTAAGAAACAATCACTGGCTGAAAACGTGGTGAAAAATTATTCGATTTCTAAAATGGCTATTATAAAATAGAAATTTGTGGAAGGAAGTTTTAGAAGGAAAATTTAGATTTGTATGCATTTTTTAAACAGGCTTTATGAAAATTAAAATTAAAAGATAATTGAATCAAAAATTAAAAAAAAAAGTTGGGAGTAGATAACCCTTAATAAAAATAAAAAAGTAAAAAGCGTTTTATGTATTTTTCAATTTTGCGTTAAAAAAATTTACCCTAAAATTAAAAAAATGTTAGGATTGGACAACCCTTAGAAATGGGTCTTATTCAAGCAATCGTTGATGAAAGTTCTAATTTTGACATGCCAAAAACCGATACTAATTTTTGCCAACGTTGACGAATTTTTAAAATTAAACGACTTGTCGTAGAGCCGTAATATTTTAGGGCCGTAATATTTTAGTATGATCTATAAGACTATGGTATCTACCGCTAAAAAAATCATAAAAATCGTCGAAACAAAAAAATTTGCACTTTATTACAAGAAAACGGTTCGGCCGATCTTTACCAAAAACTAATCAGGTCGGATTCCCAACCAACATCTTTTGAACGATTTTTGAATTTTCAAAAACGATTCAGATCTGCGGGCTAAAACGTGGACGATTTTTTTTTCACTTTTCTGCGATTCTGGCTTTGAAATTTTTGAAATCGGTCCAGCCGTTTTTGAGAGAACGCCGATTTACGGCAAAAAATTTGTTCACATACACTTCATCAGATTAACATAATCAGATTTCTTGATAAAAACATTGACTTCTTCGGGAAGTTAAAAATGCCTTGGCCTGGTCCTGGCTACGTGGCTTATTCATCTACGGTCTACGGGTCTATGGGCCCTGTGGCCCTAGATTGAACTCATTGGCCATAGATAAAAGAAGAGTGTGTCATTGAATGACGCCCATAGATAAATATACATAACGGGGCGTTTATCCCAGTCGTACCACTCCACCGTTATAAATTTGCAGTTGGAATGTTTTCAATGTTGTCGCACATGGTTTTCATGCTAATGTGAGGTTAGAATAAATTTGATATATCAGTTTTATAAGAAGAGAATTTTACTTTCTTGTGTATTTAAGTAATATCGTATTTGAACAAAACTATTATAAAAGTATATTTATTAAAACATTTGGAAGCCTTCACAATTTCCATCAAATTTGTTTTTTTTTTTTTTGTTGCAAGAAACAAAAAATACATGAAAATGTCTGAAGAAGCAACAATTAAAATTGAACCAACCGAATATCCACAAATGAAGCAAGAATTCGATTACTGTCCAAAGGTAAAACAAGAATTTGTAGATTATTTTCAAATGAAACTAGAATTTGATGATTGTGTTCATGTGAAACAAGAAATTGATGATTGTGATAATATTTGCCCGGAAGATGAAAGATTTGTGAAATCTGAGATAACAATCGAGGAAGAAATAAAACAAGAAAGGATTGAGGAGCAAGATGCTATATCAATTGCAAACACTTATATATGCAATGAAGAAAACAGTAAGTCAAATAATTTAGATAATAATACAATTAAATGCAGCAACACATTTGAAAGAGTTTTAAGTAAAAGTAAACATAAAAAAATGCAGAACTTAAAAACTCACAAATGTGAAATATGCAAGAAATCATTCACCACAAAGCCAATTTTAAAGCAGCATTTAAAGATTCACACTGGAGAACGCCGTCACAAATGTGAAATATGCAATAAAAAATTTACAGATTTCAGTACTTTAAAAAGGCATTCAGTAGTGCACAATGATTATCGACCTTACGAATGTAAAACATGTAATAAAACATTCAAAGAGAAACAAACATTAAACAGACATGAAAGGACGCATACTGGAGAACGTGATCATGTATGCAAAATATGTAATAAGAAGTTTGTTCGAGCATATCATGTGAAAGTGCATTTAACTACACACACCGGAGAACGCGCTCATAAGTGTGAAATATGCAATGAAGCGTTCACTACAAAACGATCTTTAGTGCGACATAAAATGATTCATTCTCGAAATTCATTTGAATAGACATTTGGGTAATCACTTTTTAATTCTTCATATTTGTACTAATATGCATTTTGAATATCTCAGTCAGTCGGAACTGTCTTGTATGTGAGGTCATACAGAATAATCTATACATGGTATATATACATAATATACAACCACATTTATGTTCACTAATTAAGTGCAGCTTTTAGTAATAAGTGGTTACGATAGATTTAATTTAAAAGATAAATTCACATTAGAAGGTTGTGAAACCAGTGTAATTTATGCATTCTTTCTATAAAATCGTTTAAATGAATTATATGTTAATATAATTTACATTAAACCAAATAAAAACATTTAATATCGACTCACATCTATGTTGTATTTTTATGATAATTTATATTATATGTATTTATGTGTTCAATTTTTGTTTGTGCTTTAGATTGTGTCCTTTATTTTATAGAGATATAAAGTAAAAAGACTGATTACAATTTAAATGTGATGTTTTTGCCAGTAAATGCGATTTGTCTATTTTTGTTTTCTTGGCTCTTCAAATCATTGAGTCATTGAGAAGGCATGGCTGTTGGATTGAAAAAAAATCTTAAATCAAAGTATGGAAAGTTTCAGCAATTTGCATAAGGCACAATGAAATGTACTGCTAGTTCCAGCAATTTGCCTTAAGGCATAATACCGTGCACCACTAGTTACATTGTAGTTGAGACGAATGTATAATGAAATTTTTGAATTTTGAAATATTTGAATCAAGTTTATCATTAATATATCAAGTGTAAAATGAGCAAATAGAAGACTGCATTACTGTAATAAGGAATCATTTTTTCTTGGCTTTTTTTACTAATTGTAAGCATTACTTCTAGGCCGCCACATTATTTTACCAATTTTGAATATAAATCAATTATTAACTTACTGTAGGGTAAGTTCTAATCGTCCAAAAATCGAAAATGAGACTTTTTGCATATCTTCACGTTTTAGAGGTTTCTGAACATTTTGGCATACCTCAGACAAAATGGATGTGTGTGTGTGTGTGTATATGTGGAGACAATTTTTCGTCGACGACGTCGGGGTGCATGACATTGGTTGAGAATCGAGCTGATTAGTTTTTGGTAAAGATTGGCCGGACCATTTTCTTGGAATAAAGTGTTAAAATAAATTTTTTTGATGATTTTTATGAATTTGTTTTTGGCGATAGATACCATAAGTCGTTTAATTTTAAAAATTCGTCAAAGTTTGCAAAAATTAGTATCGTTTTTTTTGGCATTTGTCAAAATTGGACATTTCATCGAGGTTTGCTCAAAAACTCATGAACCGATTACAGAAATTTTGCCATTTGATGTATCTCAATGAGGACTATCGTTTGTCAATTTTGTGCAACGATCTGCCGGACCGTTTCTTTGAAATTTGGGAAAAAGTGTTGAACTTTTCGTCCACATTTAAGCTCATACCTCCGAATCGATTTTAAAAAATCAAAAACTGCTCGAATGATATTAGTTGGGAATGATACTGATTAGTTTTAGGTGAAAATCTACCGAGACGTTTTCTTGTAATTAACTGCTGAAAAAAAATTATAGCCGATTTTTATGGAACTTTTTTGGCGATTTATATCATGATCTTATAGAACTTACTGGTGAAATATTACGCCATTACGGCCTTACAACAAGTAGTTTAATTTAAAAAGTCATCAATATGAGTAGTTTTTTGACGTTTGTTAAAATTAAAATTAGACGATTTACTTGGTATAACGATAGAGTACTTGGTCTTAATGAACATACTGAACCATTGAAGTCCTACGGAGCTGGTTCAATTATAAAAATGGTTGATTCTTGAAAATTTGCTTTTAGAAAATACTCTGAGTTAACGTGATTGTTCGTTCTCAAATATGTGTAATAAATCCACTAGGAATACTTTTAATCTATATAAATTAATTTATTTTTATTGATTAAGTCGATTATTTACACATATCGGGAAGTTCATATAACATGTCTCAAGCCAACATACCAATACGTTTAATACGTTTAATACCAACTAGTTAACTTCCCGAAGGAGAAGTTTATGTTTTCATAAAAAAATCCGACTCGCTAATTTTATGTTTCTCGACGTTTCAAGCCATTCTGAATCGAATGAGACCAAATTTGGAAAAAGTATGTGTGTGTGGGTGTGTGTGTGTGTGAACAGATTTTTTGCCGTAAATCGACGTTTTCTCGAAAACGGCTGGACCGATTTCAAAAATTTAAAAGCCATTAGATGTATCTCGATGAGGACTAGCGTTTCTGATGTTTTGTATAACGATCGGCCATGCCGTTTCTTTGTAAATCGCAGAAAAGTGAAAAATTTTTCGTCCACGTTTTAGCCCGCAATTCTGAATCGATTTTGAAAATTCAAAAACTGTTCGATAGATATTGGTTGGGAATCGTGCTGATTAGTTTTTGGTAAAGATCGGCCGGCCGTTTTCTTGCAATAAAGTTTAAAAAAAAAAATTTGACGATTTTTATAATTTTTTTTTTTGACGGTAGATACCACAGTCTTGCAGGTCATACTAAAATATTACGGTCCTACGACAAGTCGTTTAATTTTAAAAAATCTTCAAAGTTTGCAAAAATTTGTATGTTTTTTTTGGTATTTGGCAAAATTAAACCTATGATCGACGTTTTCTTAAAAACGCCTGAACCGATTTCAGAAATTTAAAAGCCATTTGATGTATCTTAATGAGGACTATCGTTTGTCAGTTTTGTGAGACGATCTGCCAAACCGTTTCTTTGTAATTTGAAAAAAAGTTTTAAACTTTTCGTCCACTTTTAAGCTCATCCTACCAAACCGATTTTAAAAAATCTAAATCTGTTGGAAAGATATTAGTTGGGAATGGTACTGATTAATTTTAGGTGAAAATCTACCGAGCCGTTTTCTTGTAATTAACTGTTGAAAAAAAGTGTTACATTTTCGTCCACATTTAAGCTCATCCTACCGAACCGATTTTAAAAAATCAAAATCTGTTCGAAAGATATTAGTTGGGAATGGTACTGATTAATTTTAGTTGAAAATCTACCAAGCCGTTTTCTTGTAATAAACTATTGAAAAAAAAATTTAAGCCGATTTTCATGAAACTTTTTTTGGCGATATATACCATGGTCTTATAGAACTTACTGTAATATTATGGCCTTGCGACAAGTAGTTTAATTTTAAAAATTCGTCAAACTTTGCTAAAATTATTATCGTTTTTTTTAAAGTATTATTAAGGATTGATGAAGTATATATTTACACATTTTTTTTTTGATCAAGTCGATTATTTACATATATCGGGAAGTTCATGTAACTTGCCTCAAGGCTAAATACCAAACCAACTAGTTTGGAATTAAATTTACCTTAGTAAATTGCAATTCTATGATAGAGAAATTCAATAAATGGAAAATATAAAACTTATGTTAATAATTTGAGTTAAGCGAAATTGATCACATTATGCTACTGAATGAATTTAACATTTCCATTTTTATTGACATGGTATTTTACTTTTGTATAAACTTTGTAACACACCAGTTTAACTATGTTTTAAATTTAATAGGATCTGTAAATAGTATTAAAAGAAAATCGTTAGTTTTTTCATAAAAATAACTATAATTAACTTTCCGTAGGGCAAGTTATAGTAATCGCAAAAAAATCGAAAATGAAAATTTTATATATCTTTACGTTTTAAAGGTTTCTGAATATTTTGGCATACCTTAGAAAAAATGGATATGTGTGTGTGTGTGCGTGTATGTATGTGTGTGCGGATACAAATTTTCGTCGACGATTTCGGGAACACGGATGAAGCAATTTGAACAATTCAAAAAACATTTGAATCGTATTGAAAAGGAGACGTGCTGATTAGTTTTTGGCAAAGGCAGGTCTAGCCCTTCCGAAGATACGGGGCAAAAAGTGCCAAAAACGGTAACTCAGTTTATAAGAGAACGGAATGTCCGATTTGAATAATTCAAAAAACATTTTACTTGTATTAACAAGGTGAAGAACTGGTCAAATTTTCATGAAGGCAGGTCTAGCAGTTTCGGAGATCTTGTAGAAAAAGTAAAAAAAAAATGCCATTTGGCGGTCAAAAATGATCATTAGACATATGCACATCAAATTATCGGATATTTTATAGAAATTTTAACAATAAATATAAATTTTGTTTACATTCCTATAGGTTCCGTACCAATATTTATCCGTTAGACGGCGACACGGCGCTTACGTGCTTCGATATTTCGTCTCTATGCAGTTAAAGCAGTACGATTGCTTTGAAAAAATATTCAGAATTTCCAAAATATTTCAAAATAAATTTTTTTTCAAAAAAAAAATTTTTTGTCAAAAATTTATAGTTTCTCAAAAGTCTAATTTTTTGAGAGCAATTTTTTTTCAAAAATGTTAATCTTTTTAAAAAAAAATAATTTTTACTACGGGAAGTTCCAGCAATTTGCCTTAAGGCACGATGCCATGCGCCCTACTAGTTTAAATTTAAATAAGTTCACATTGGCGCGTTTGTGTTACCCGCGTCAAATGTGAGATGTTTTGAATGTTGTCCAACCTGATCTTATTATGCGAGAAGATAGCGAAACAGAAATGTCAAATTGATTCATGGAAGTTGTGTTTATTTATCTATTGTTTATTTTATGTTTATTTAAATATGCAACAGACACCTAACAATGTCTGAAGAAAACAACAATTAAAATCGAACCAATCGATTATCCTCAAGTCAAACAAGAATTGATGATTGTCCACAAGTGAAACAAGAATTTGATGATTGCGATAATATTTGTCCGGAAAACGAGCAAATATTTTTAAAGTCTGAGATAAAAATCGAGGAAGAAACGAAGGAAGAAACGATTGGATCAAGATGCTGCTTCAACTGCAAACACTAACATATATACGAAGAAAACAGCAAATCTTTTGAAAGCATTTAAGTAGAAGTCAACACGAAATAATCCAAAACTTGAAACCCTATAAATGTGAGATATGCACAAAAACATTACAACAAAACAAACATTAAGTCGTCATAAAAT